AACGCTTACTAATAAAATGTTGCTAAAGAGGTCTATCGCAACATTTTAATAAGTGAATGTTGCCATTGGTCAATATAAATAAGCTTTGGCAACATTTTTTAGAAGAATGTTCCAATAGACCATTTTTTGCAACGTTTATTGAGTGTTACGAAATTTTTTATTTTTCGCAACATTTATCAAGTGTTGCGAAAAATTTTATTTTTCCCAACATTTATCAAATGTTGCAAAAAGTTCACTTTTGCAACGTTTATTAAACGTTGCGAAATGTTTTACTTTTGCAACGTTTTTTGAACGTTGTGAAATTTCTCACCTTTTGCAACTTTTTTTAATATTGCAAAAGTGAGACCTTTTATTTTTTGCAATGTTTATTGAACGTTGCAAAAAATCACTTTCTGCAACGTTTGATCAAACATTGCGAAAACTTTTGTACTTTTTTAAATGATACATGGGCTGATAGAAACCCAAACCCTAAGTTTATTCATTACTATAGTAAGTTCTCTCAAGTTAAGGGCGAATTCTAGCCCTTTATTTCACCCATTATGGAACAAAATTTCGGCAAGCCACGGCCACCAGACCTTGATACCGGTGGAAAGCCCTTCACCTCCTCTTCATTTACCACCCAACATCTCCCAATTTCATCAACTATGGTGATCGGAATCGTTGCTCAAAGGTCACAGCCTGCAAATCTGAAGTTCACCGAAATCTCCACATCCGGCCACCACCATGAACGGAACTCACCACTTGTCGAGAGCCCACAACCAGGCGACCTCAACCATGGCACCAATATACCCAAACATCATTTCAACAACCTGAATTTATTCCAGAAGTTCTGCCCGTTGCGAAGTTCGTGAAGCTGGATCTGAATTTTCAAAATCCCAACGCCATCCGGTTGACCCATGGTCACGGACCACATGGGTTATTTTCCTCCCTACCTGGCGCAACCATGGGTCAGGTCCAATTTTGTCAGAACGCGATGAATTCATGGCTATAGTTAGGGCGCTGTACGAAAAATAGGGAATGAAGGTTTTTGATTATTCTAAGTTGCTCTAAATGTTTGATTCGACTACTAAATCTTCAATTGATGATGGACACACCATGGGTCATCAACCGATTCGGCCAATTAACAACTCAAATGCCGGATTGAACCCCCTTTAAGTCCGTCTACGCGATGACAAATTGGATTATTCAATTTCTGATTTTGCTGCAGTTTTACCACTCAATCCTATCAACATCAATGCAATTGAGGACCCTAATATTGTGGTTAATTTATGTAAATCACTATACAAATAAAAGAATTTAAATTTTTTTTAAAAAAGTAAAAAGACCTGCGGCAACATTCAAAAAACATTGCACAAAACTGTCTTTCGTAACGTTAATAAAACGTTGCAAAAGGTCTTCAGCAATGCTAAAAAAAGGTTGCCATATCCTTCTACACTACGGCAATATCGAGGTTTGCAACATACGCATAAACGTTGCAAAAGGTCTATTGTAACCTTTTTTGAATGTTGCGAAAGACAGTTTTTGTTGTAGTGAGTATTTGTTCTTTCTCGTTTAGGACCCAACGTACTTTTCCTAGGTTATCTATTCACTACAAAAACGTTATTCGACACTAAGTTTCCAATCTTAGACGATTTGTGCTTAATATTGCAATTGTAATTAGTGTTCTAAAAAGCTCGCCTAGAAGGCCCCTAGGCTTGAAACTCAGACAAAACGCTTCGATTTGTGCCTAGACTTTTTTTTTTTCAATTCTTAAACGGTTGAATTTTTTTTCTTACTCTCTTTCGTTTTCCCTAGGTGCACTTTATTAAAATCTTTTATTTTTTTTCCTTTTTCAAAAGTCTTTTATTTAACTTTAGTTTATTATTATTTTTATTTTTTAAAAAACTTTTCATTTGACTTTATTTTCAAGTTTTTAAAAGTCTTTATATGTACAAAAGTTAAAAATAACGTTATTTGACAAAGAATTAAATAAGATTTTAAGTTACGTTGCTATCTACGTTATGTAATTATGATCTTGAAACTCGTTATTTTGTTGAACATTTCGAATGCATGTATGAAATTCTTATAAATTTATGACGTAGGACTTGTCAAGTTGAAAATTGAAATTATGAAAAATAGTCTAATTTTTATATTTTGAAAATTTGAAAATTGTATAATTGACTAATTATAAGAATTTTGAAGTAAATATGGTATTTTATAATTTTAGATGTTTGATATGTATTATTTTAATTATTAGATAATTTTAAAATGATTAAAAATTTAAAGTAACATTAAAAATAAGAGAATGTTTTTTTATGTCTAGGCATCACTTAGGCTCGTAGAGGTGACGTAGAGCTTGAAACTTCGTCTTCATGCCTGGCCACACTTTACACTTTTTAGAACATTAATTATAATATGAGAACAATACATATCTCAGGTTTTTACTTTACACCATTTCAAAAATACAAAATCAAGTTTCAAATTTCAAAAATCAGGTTTTTAAAATTTTTATTTATGAAATAATAAATTATTAAATCAATTTATTATTACATATTTACTTATAACATAGCATAAATACCCCCACTCCACATCCACCACCACCACCCCAACCGCTCTAGAAAATATTCTGACTACCATTCCAGTCACAACTCTTCTCCAGCGACTGTTCCGATTCCGACGACTATTTGGATGACCGTTCCATCGCCACTTTATTCCGATGACTGTTGTGATTCCAACAAGTGTTCCAACTCCAGCTAATATATTAAGGTCACAGATTTACGCAATTTAGTCACAATTCGAAAATTTTTAGGTCACAATTTGTTCATCGATCACAAATTAAAAATTTAAAAGTCACAATTTGTTCATCGATCACAAATCACAAAATTTATAAGTCACACTAATTATTTTATGGTCACAAACATCACATTAACTGATCATAAATTATATTTAGGTCA